CATGTCGCAATACTGAGTATTTACTGGCCGCTATGGCTGTGCATGTTTCTCTTGAGCGCGTGCTGAGAGCGAGCTTCCTGCAGATGAGTTTTGCACCCTCAAAGTTGCTGTTCATAGCGGAACCTAAGTTGATTTCCCCACAGCTTCCCCCTCCCCTTCCCCCATGCCATATAAGACACCGCAGACCATACATGTTTTGCACGTGACGTCATACCGAAGTTGTGGCACCTATTCCTACATTTTGCATGCTTCGACGTAGCACTTATACGATGTGAAATGAACACTGTGAAGGAAACGCTCGAGGAAGTTTATCCACCAGCATGGCGGACCAAATTACGGCAATGGAAGTTATCTATAGGCATGGATATAAAATAAACGTGTAAGACAAATCAGTCGAGCTGTTGAATACATATGAATACTGCCTCTAGTTTATACACCCCCTATTCCTCAAGGTTTTCAATGCCTCTGCCATCTCCCAGAAATTTGTAGAACATCACACATCGAGAACACTGGATGAGCTTCAGGCGTATTATCTCTGCATTCGTTTGGAATGTTCGGTGTCCAAGTGTGTCGGCATATCGCTGCTTGGAGGACGTGGAGCAAAATCTCGTGCTGCAGAACCCAGGGATCCTGGGTTCTATCCCCACCCCTGCTCATTTTTTTCTGGATGACCATTGTACCAGCACGGATTAGTGTAATCCCTGTTTCTTGATGCATGTTAAAGACCACAGGCTCGCAGTCATACAGCACTGGCTAAATTGCTTATCTACAGCGGAGACTCTTCACTTCGTTTCAATGACTGACAAAAATCACACGTTCTGAATATCCAGACACGAATTTTTTAGGGCTTTGCAATCGTTTCTGCTGCGTGAGAGTTTATGCACAGGAAGGAGGTGATACCTTGAGCATGGAGCTCGCGCATTATAGCTTTTGTGCTTGACTGGATAAGTTTCTCATATATAGCATGAACCAGTGCGCCATTCCATGTCACGCGGACTTCCTGCTCTTTCAACGAGACATGTAATGTCTAATCCGCTATCCTCTGCTTTTTGCTTTGGGTCTAGGCTCCCCATTGACGAATATTCATAAGCACAAAGAAATGTGCTCAACCAACATGGATCCTGAACGGAGGCGTCTGGGTATTCTGGAGAAAGCATCGCGACAAACAAAAGGCGTAATGAGTTTGTTAAGTTGACATGGTAATGAAGGCAACGCTCCCGACGTTGAAAGTCTGGCACTATCCTCAAAAGACTACGCCAAGGACGCTTGTTCGGAACTTGATGGTGCGAACGTGTGTGAATTCATTACACATGTGCAGCCGTCCTGAAGCGGGAGCTTGTTCCAGTCACTTCCCTCAACGGTACCCTTCGACTGACAGACCCCAGGCAGCGTTGAGTTTTGTGGCCGAGGTACACGACAGTTCCCAACATACACGAGGATTTGTTACTTTCTCTCGCACTAGCAGTGAAAACGAGCCAGCTTCTATTGAACAGAACCTTGGTAGGTAGTAGCAGATCTGGGCAACTCTCAATATGATAAAGAGGAATGCACTGAGTGATCTCTTAAAGAGTTTGAGGGAAAATTTCTGTCATTCCTCCCTTCCTAGTGATGCGCGCGCACTTCCGAACACCCAACGGGGTCCATGTCCGGAATCTCCAATCACACCACCTGTACACTACTGCCACTTCGGTCTTGAAACAGGACTGCTGTATGCGATCAGTGCCCTCCTTGAGCTGCCAAGAGATTTGGTGCTCTCATTCAACATTAACGGCTTGCTGTTATCAAAAAACTCCGGCCTCCAACTCTGGCCAGTCCAATGCCTCATCGTGAAGTTTGGTAATTAAGTACCATTTCTCGTCGGTGCTTTTGCTGGATTAAGCAAGACGGCGTCGGCAAATGACTTTTTCGTGCCATTTGTAATGGCGCTCAAGTGCTTGCTACAAAGCGGTCTCATCGTTAGCGCCTCTGGTGTTTGTATTTCTGTGAAAGCAATTACATGTGATGCTCCTGCACGTTCACTTATTTTGTATACCAATGGGGCACTCTGGTTACAGTGGTTGCTCAAAGTGCAAATGTGAATGTTTATAGAAGGAAGGGAAGATGGTTTTCCTTGACACAAGTTGTGAAATGCATACTGATGCCAGCTTCCGACAACAGTAAGACCCTGACCACCACAAGGGTACCCCTGTTCTTGTTCAGCTCCCAATCGGCACGATTAAGGAAATTCCATTGGACGACATGCACCTGGTGCTCCTTGGTGTTGCCAAAAAATTAGTTCTGCTTTGCCTCCACCACCTCCTACGCCAATTCTTTTCTCCCATTGACATTATTAGAATGAAATGCTTTACTGATAACATAGTTACAACTTATGGTGTGGACGTATTTAAAAAGCTACTAGGTGAACATTTAGCTCCCTGTGAAAACGATGCTGAGTCTTAGCATGTTAATAACGTGCATTTCATTTTTTTTTTATTTTTAGTATTTATTTGTATTTCTGTTATCGCTGCTCACGGGTTTGTATTACTATGTTTATATATTCGAATGTTTAGTTTTCTATTCCTTGTGTCGCTGCTCACGAGTGTATTAATGTTTCTATATTAAAACTTTTGGTTTCCCATCCCTTCTGTAATGCCCTGTTAAAGGGGCCTTCAGGGTATTGTGAAATAAATAAATAAATACCATAATTATTTCTAGGTGTTCTATATGTTCCCTTTCTTCGTCTTATGTAGATTTAGGTACAAATGCTGTACAGGAAGGCATTCTGAGTATTTCTAACCTCTTTAAATAAGTCTATAAGTGCTCACCGTATAGATATTTCATGTTTCATTGAGCTGCACATCACCAGGTAAACCACAGATTGTGCCGTTTGGGAATCGGTGTTGCACGTCGGCGCATCAAAAACCTGTCAAGATCGCTTCCATGGGTCACTATGACATTGCCCTGTAGAAGAAGCGGCTAGAGTTGCAATATTGCCATCCGGTCATCTCCACGCTAGGAAAAGCTTGTCATGCGAGTTTTCTGCCCATCTCGGCGACATGGTGATTTCTTTAGCTGGGTGAAACTATCGGCGACTATATTGCAAAGCGTTGGGTTAGGGTGTTTATTTAGCTTCGTGCTTGTGTTTGTCTCCTCTGTCCGCACAATCCAGGGTTCAAGTGTCTTTGTGCTTTCTGACATAAATGTGGGGCAAATAATGTGGTTATCAGCGTGTTGTCGAGAAAACGTTATCTCGTTTGAAGCTTGCTTGTTTTAAACTACTGTCTACGATTCGGCAGTTATAAATTGCATGCTGGCAATCAACACTTTGTGTCCCATTAGCTTTGACGCAAACGAAATGCGTAACATAGTAATGGTCTATGTGTGGGTTTTGCCGACTTCACTCTGTCTGTAAAGAACTATAAATTACCAGGGCCCATTTTCACAGAACAAATCTAATAAACATGGGAACAGTAAAATGTCTGTCAATAAACGGCAGACTTTTATTTCATTGCACGCAGACGTATACGTTTGCTCTGTCAGTGCTCGGAACTGTTTTCGGTTGTCAGGCCTTGAGAGGAGACATTTCAGAATTTTCTACAATACCTTGGCCCGTGAAAGTGTTATAAAAAAATTTGAGAACTCTCATTATCCAAGATGGCACCGAATATCTGTTTTGCAGCGCCGTGCACATTCGTTATGTCCAATTTTTCAGGTGCTTACAGTGGATGCTGCACACGTTTGTACACAAATGGCACAATAGACACCGAACTTGGAAGACCTTCAATCTTCTACGAAGAATACACTCGTGTCGTCCGCAGCCACACCGCGAGGTATCTGGACTACTATGCGAGAAACCTGGCACGGTGACAGTGCCACCCTATAGATTTAGCTAATAAGCAAGGTTGTAAAGGTTATTCTAAAACATTTCCTAAGGTACAGCTACTTGTGCTAAAATGTACATAAAGTGTACATAGGTACACTTGTTTCAAGATGTACCTATGTACAATTACAAATACTTTTTCACGAATATTTTTATAGTGTGTGTCTCATTTCTCGCAGAGCATGTGTATAGCCATTCAATGTGATTGCCTAAGGTAGTACAGAAAATTACGCAACAGAGATACGCTCTGTCACGCGAAAAAGCAATTTGTGCTGTGAGACTGCGCATGACGTTTCACATGTTGCAATTTCAGTTCATATCGCATTCTCTCGGTGAATCGCTTTGTCGAATTCTCTATACCTTAGGTTCCTTCTACAGATCAAGGTGATTAGTTTTATGTAGGCACTGGGAAAGTAGAAATGCGAATCTCGTTCGTAATAACGCATTAATTACTCAAGTAAGTAGGGTAAATACTAGTACTGTAAGTAGTGAATGAAACGTTTTTATTAAAAAAATTCACAAACTCACAGATTGTGAAAACACACAGGATGTCGAAATACTATTTTGAATTCGTTAATTGTTGCTAGTTCGATTTCTTTGTTTCCCCATTTAGGATATCTAAAGTTTATATGTGACAAGTACTGTTACATGCATATTAAGTTCTTAGTTATGGTTAGAAATACTCGAACCTTCGTAAGCAATGTTTGCCAAATGTACAAACGGTGCCTCATGAAATGTTTTCCGCAACGTGCTTTTTGTCAACTTTTTGTTTCGGAGGCAGCATCCAGATACTTATCGGTCAGTCTGTTTATGCTGGTCAAACCTATAAACGAAGTTTACCGTGACGTACTTGTTGAGGAAGGACCATATGTGTCAGAATTGACAAGGTCTTGTGGGCGTCGTATTTAAATCAGGCAATAAGCGTAAAAACAAAACACAAACTGTATTTACACTAATAAATCAATCGAATATACATCATTACAGAGAAGTGTCTCGATCGGCTTCTGTCGTTCGCCTCGTTCCGCCCGTGCCTCGAACCTTCTTCTTTCTTTTCGTTTCTCGTGAGCTTCAAATTCTTTCCAATCTGCAACACCCCCCCCCCCCCCCCTTCTTTCGTTTTCCGCGTGAGAGTTGCCTTGGTTCATTCACTTGCCAGTTCCAGGGGGTAAATGAGCTGCACGGGGCGCCGAAGCGTTACTCCGCTCGGTAGGCGCACTAGACAGGAACGCACGGGGTTGTCTCTGCCCAGCTGAACTGTTTCGATCCTCCCCGTTTTCCACATGAGCCGTGGGGTCTTGTCTTCGTGAACAAGAACGAGGTCCCCGTTCTGTAGGTCGTTTGTCCGCGTCTCGGGCGATCGGTGTGCGGAGCGGAGCTGAAGGAGGTATTCCTTCCGCCATCTCCGCCAGAATCGGTCCAGTAGTTGCTGCCTGTGTAGCCAACGTCTGGTAATGTCCCCTCTCGCAGAACCTGGCATAGTTTCTAGGTTGACTGATGGGAAAGCCGTCAGATGCCTGCCCAACAAGAAGTGCGCAGGCGTTAAAGCCTCCTGCTTGTGTGCAGCGTCGTGAACAGGGGCCAAAGGTCGAGAATTCACGACGGCTTCCACCTCTTGGAGCATGGTCGTTAGTTCTTCGAAACTAAACTTGTTCCTTCCTAGTATGTTCCGTAGACTACCTAGTATGTTCCGTAGACGTAGGCGTTGACGCACCAGCCAGACAGCAGAGAACATGCTACAGCTGTGGATCAGCAGATCACTTAGCAAATGCTGCTACACGTCCCGCAAGGAGCAAGACTTGCACCAAATGCAGAAAACAAGGACATCTGAGCTCTGTTTGTCGGGGTACGGCGTCAACAATGGAGGTGGTGAGTTCTTTCACCACTACTAATGAAGACTTCAGTTCCCTTGAAAAGGAAAAAAACGTGACCCAGTTAGAAAAGTGCTGGAAGTTGGAGAAGTGCACAAAGCTGCAATCTATGTGACAATGGAAGTAGAACAACAAGATGTCAAGTTCCTACTTGACACTGGTTCTGCAGTTTCCATTCTCTCCCATGAAATCTACCAGAGCAAATTTGCGGACTAACATCTACTCCAACCAGCTGCAGTACAACTACAAAATTACTCAAGGCAGCGCATTCCGCTTCTTGGATGTTTCGTGGCAACAGTCACGTACAAAGGGTCCTCAGCATCACTTGTGCTTTACGTCGTCTCACAAGGATCGACATTGCTGGGACTGGACGGACTTTCCGCCCTTCGACTTCGCATTGACGGATCTACCCTGCAGTGCATGGAGACCTCTACACCGATCTCTACGGACTTGAAATCTATCATCGACTCTACCTACGCTCACCTGTTCACACCAGGAATAGGCATGGCAAAAGGTTACGAGCATCTAGTCAAGGTGAAGAGAGACGTTCCTCCTGTTGCAGTAAAGCTCCGTCGACTGCCACTTACCATTCGTGAAGAAGTGTCTAAAGAGCTTCTGCGTTTACTCGATATGGACATTATCGAGCCAGTCACCGCATCTGAATGGGTATCACCCATTGTTGTTGTAAGAAAAAAAGACGGAAAGCTACGACTATGCGTGGATCTTCGTGCTCCCAACAAAGCAATTGTCGTCGACTGCTTTCCATTACCAAACACGGAAGAGCTACTCAACGCCTTGGATGGAGCCAAGGTATTCTCCAAGCTGGACTTAACAGCAGCTTACCACCAGGTCCTTTTGTCGCCTGAAAGCCGTGACCTAACTGCTTTCATTACACACGAAGGCCTCTACCGCTACAAGAGAGTGTGCTTTGGCTTGGCATCTGCACCTTCAGCTTTCCAGAAGATGATGCACGACATTTTCGTAGGATGTTCGGGTGTCCTTTGCTATCTCGACAACATTATCATCTTTGGTGCTGACGCAGAGGACCATGCAAAGAACTTGACAAAAGTTCTGCAGCGCATCTCAGACACTGGCCTGAAGCTAAACGACAAGTGTGTTTTCAAAGTAACAGAATTGACATTCGTAGGACATACTATCACTTTTTAAGGTGTGACTCCTCTACAAGAAAACGTTCAAGCTATTCAAGATGCGCCTATACCAAAGGACCATCATTCCCTGCGCTCCTTTTTAGGACTTGCGGGATATTACGCAAGGTTCCTTCTCAACTACTCGGATGAAGTTGAACCACTAAGAGATATTCTACGTGGCGAGAAGACATTCGTTTGGACGAACACAGCACAGTGGTGCTTCGATAGAATCAAGCTGCTGATTGCCATCTGCAACGCGCTTGCCATGTTCAGTCCAGGATTGCCAGTTCTTGTCACAACGGATGCGTCCGGATACGGTATTGGCGCAGTGCTCCAGCAGGCCAACGGATCCGATCTGCAGACCGTTGCGTTTGCTTCAAGAACACTTTCACCGGCAGAGCGCAAATACTCTGTTGGGGAACGGGAAGCCCTCGCATGCGTTTGGGCACTAGAGCATTGGCACGTGTATCTCTGGGGAAGACCATTCGCCCCCTGCACAGACCACCAAGCACTTACCACCCTACTGAGCTCTCAAGGCACGGGTCACCGTCCGCTCAGAATCGCTCGATGGACAGCACGTCTGCTCAACTATAACTTTGTAGTGCAATACAAGAAGGGCGAAGACAACGTCATCGCAGATGCACTTTCCCGACTACCATTACCTGATGCGTCTCCTGACCTGATTGAAGAGGAAGTTATCTCCGTCATAACTGAACAACCCATTTCGAAGAACGACCTGCAGTCTTCTACAGCCGCTGACTCGGTACTTAAAAAAATCAAGCATTTCGTCGTTACAACCTGGCAATCTAACACCAAGGTAACTACTGAAGTGTTACCCTACTACCAAGTGAGATCCGAGCTGTCAGAGGTCGATGGATTGCTCCTACGTGGCGAGAGAATCGTAGTTCCAACTGTATTGACTACTAAAATCATCGCCCTGGCTCATGATTCACACTTGAAAATCGTCCGAACCAAGCAACGATTGAGGCAGTGGTACTGGTGGCCAGCCATGGATGCAGCAGCGGAACACGCTGTCCGTGGTTGCCTGACCTGCCAGACAGCTGATAAGTCTGCAAAGACTTTTCCTGCTCCACTACAACCAATACCGCTTCCCGCACGTCCCTGGGAGAAGCTGGGCATCGATATCGTTGGTCCCATCGAAAAAGCACCCCAACGACATCGTTTCGTGGTCACCGTCATGGACTATTACACTCGCTGGCCTGAAATTGTTTTCGCTAGCACGGTAACCAGCGAAACAGTGACTGCATTCCTGCGGACGCTTTTCAGCCGTGAAGGATATCCGACAGAAATCGTCTCAGACCACGGAAGCCAATTTACATCGGCAGAATTCGAAGAATTTTTACGGGAACGTGGCATTCGACATACGTTCTCATCCGTTTACTACCCACAGTCAAATGGTATGATTGAAAGATTTAACCGAGTGCTGAAGGGGTTTATTCAGCTGGCTCTCCTTGAACAACGAAACCTCGAAGAAACACTGACCGAATATGTCGGAGTATACCGTGCAACACCACACTCAACTACGGGTGTGTCGCCCGCATTCCTGTTGCACAATCGGCATCCGCGGACCAAGCTGAATGTCGTCGGATGGCCATCAGAAAGCTTCTTCACGGAACCGACCGGAGCAATGACGGAGCTGAGAGAGCGAATTAGAAGACAGCAGCTTGCTGCTCAAGAGTACGTAGACCAGAAGAGAGGCGCACGTACGCCAGCTTTTCAGCCAGGCGATTTCGTTCGCGTGAAGTTGCCAGGTCATCACGCCAAGGGGAGTTTGAGATACTCCAAGCCACGCAAGATACTGGAGCGTCGAGGATCGAATGCATTCGTGCTCGACGATTACAAGGTGTGGAATGCAAGCAAACTCTCAAAACTACCACAAGAAGTCCTGCCACGACTTACTTCGGGGACAGACAACGGGCTGTCACCTGCCACTTCGTGGAATCCTCCACCAAACACGCCCCAGTCACTCGAGTTTTTTCCGGCGGGAGACCGACCGGAATCGAGATCATTGTCAAATGGTACAGACACCCACCGACAAGAACTTCAACTCCAACCTCTTCGCAGGAGTTGCAGACAACGAAAACCTCCGGAAAGACTAGGAAGTTATGTGACATGAACATTGCCATATAGGCATTCGGGTTTTCGTTGACTCGACAACTTTGTTTATTTAGATGCTTCTTTTCTGCTTTGGTTGTTTTAGTATGTGCATTTCCTTTAAAAAACGGGGGAAATGTAGTGTTTAAAGAAAAGAAAGACGAAGCAGAAAGGAGATGATAAAAGAAGAAGACGATGAAAAGGCGTACAACTGAATCGGCGTTCCTTCATCTTACATTCAACTACACTACATACACTACAGCTTCACTGTCTGGACCATCCTTTCCCAGAACCCGCCCCACCAGGCTGCTCTCTCAGCGATAAACTTCCACTTTATCCGATGCTGTGAGCAGTAATCCTGGAAGCGGCGGTTCGTGAGCACGTCCCATACGCCGCATAAGTCCTTTGCTGCCCTCTTAAAGGTGAGGTCATTGTCTGAGTAGACAACACTGGGTAAGCCCCGTCGAGCAGTAAAGCGCTGGAAGGCCATGATGAAAGCCTCTGTCGATCGGTTGGAGACAAGCTCTAGGTGTAGGGCTCTTGTTACCGCACATGTGAAAAGCGCAATGTACGACTTTTCATCTGATGCTGCAGTCTTTACCATCAGTGGACCGGCAAAATCGATCCCGACCACCTCAAAAGGATTCGCTTGGGTAATCCGATCCTGCGGCAAAGGTGCGGTTGGAGCGTTAGCCGGCTTGAGTCGGGCCAACCGACAACCATTACATTTGTTGATGACCTTCTTGGCCAGCTGTCTTGCTCGCGGTATCCACAACCGCTCTCGGACTTGGGTTAAAGTGTCCTGAAGTCCGCCGTGCAGTGTTCGACGATGGCAGTCTTTTACCAATAACTCAGTGAAGCGGTGATCGGGAGGTAGCAAAAGCGGGTACTTGATCTCGATTGTTTCCTTTAATTGTTGCAGTCGTCCCCCCACTCGCAACAATCGGTTGGGGTCAATGAAGGGGCCGAGCGAGACTATGCTGGATCGCCTTTCCAGTTTCTTATCTGCCTTTAGATTGTTCAATTCTTGTGTAAAAGCTTCCTGTTGCGTTCGTGCGATCCACCAAGTCTCGGCTCGTTCAAGTTCTTCGGACGCTAGCGGGCCCTCACGTCGGCTTCGCCGCGTTCGGAAGTTCTTTACAAACCTCATAATCCATGCAGTAATCCTGAGGATCCGTTCCAGCGCCCCGTACCGTCCAAGTCCCAATAGAGGTGCAATCCCCTCTGTTGCAGTTTGCAATACGTGAGGTTCCAGCTTTCCCTCCTCTGCAATAACTGCTACTGGAACGTCGTCGCCCATGACGAGGTTCGGCCATACGCCTTCGGTTTTACCAAGCCACTTTGGACCCTTCCACCACAATTGCATACCTTTTAGAGTTTCCGCAGATATTCCCCGTGTCATCAAATCTGCCGGATTTTCTTGACCGGGGCAGTGCTTCCATGTAGAAGGTGACTCTCCAGATTGGAGCTATGCCACTCGATTTGCCACAAAGGGCTTCCACTGAGTTGCTGACCCGTGGATCCAGTGAAGTGTGATAGCGCTATCTGTCCAGTAGAATGTCTCTTGAATGTTCATGATCTCTCCAAGATACTGGCCCATCCGTCTTC